AATACACCAGGATATCATCAATGAAGATGATAACAAACTCATCCAGAAACGCCTGTAACACGCTGTTCATCAGCCTCATGAACGCCGCTGGTGCATTAGTCAACCCGAAAGGCATCACCACGAACTCATAATGCCCATACCTCGTCCTGAATGCCGTTTTACGGATATCCGCCTCGTCGATAGGAATCTGATGCTAACCCGACGCCAAATCGATCTTAGAGAACCACGTAGCTCCCCTCAACTGGTCCAACAACTCATCAATCCGCGGCAAAGGATACTTGTTCTTCACCGTGACTCGGTTAAGTCCCCGGTAATCGATACACAGCCGGAAACTCCCATCCTTCTTTTTAACGAACAACACCGGTGCACCCCACGGTGAAACACTAGGACGGATGAAACCCTTACCCAGCAGATCCTCCAACTGCTTCTTCAGCTCCGCCATCTCCGCTGGAGCCATCCGGTACGGAGCCTTAGACAACGGCGTTGTCCCGGGCTCCAACTCAATCGTGAAGGGATCAGACCGAGATGGTGGTAACCCCTTCAACGACTGAAACACATCCTCGAACTCCTGAACCACCCGGATCTTATCCACTGCTACCTCATCGACCGTCTCTGGCATGACAATCGTAACCAAATAAGCTTCCCGCCCCTTTCGGATCATCTTATCCGCCTGAATCGCCGAAATCACTAAACTCCCCGAAATCGGTCTCACACCCTGGAAATACATCTTCGGTCCGGGACGCTCCAAGTATACTCTCCCCCGGTGACAATCCAGATGAACTCTATGCCGCTCCAACCAATCCATGCCCAGAATTACATCATACAACTCCACCGGACTAATGTACAGATCTGCCGGCATCGACTCCCCCGCAATCTGTACATCCACACCACTGGCCCGTCCCTGAACCGCTAGCAAAGCGCCTCCTGCGACTCTAACGGCTCCGAAACAACCATCGGGATCTCCTCGGATGTTACCACCCGTCGCGCACTCTGGTGTAATGAAGCTATTCGTAGCTCCAGAATCAAACATCACGTGGGACAGGAACCCGCCCACCAACAGGGTCCCTACACAAACCCTTTTCACTAAGACCGCCCACCCCAAAATCACAGGAAACAACACAAATTCTAAAACAACGGAAGGAAACAGAATGAGTCTTAGAATTAAACCTGTGATCGGCCGTCCAGTGCTTGGCTCTCCTGTCTCCACGGTCGTATACCCCCTCGATCCCTCGATCTGTGCCTCCGGCGGTGCTCCCAGCTGAGCCAACGACTGCCCTGCCAACTGCAATCCTGGCTGCACCCACTGCTGCACCACTGGCTGCATCACCGGCTACACCGCTGCTACCGCCATCTGCTGCAACTTAGGACACCTCGTCTTGATGTGCCCCGTCTCTCTGCAGTGGTAACAGACACGGGTATCCACCCACGGCTCGCCCTTCTTCGGGCAGCTTGCCACCCTGTGATCCGTACTCCCA